GCAAAAATCCAAGATAAAGAAGGTATTCCACCTGATCAACAACGTCTTATCTTCGCCGGTAAACAGCTTGAAGACGGTCGAACATTAAGTGATTATAACATTCAAAAAGAAAGTACACTTCATCTTGTACTTCGACTTCGAGGTGGTGGTGATCAATAAAAGATGTTTTAGGGTATCCGGACCATTAAGTTGTTTTGGATCTTTTTCTTTTTTTGTTATTGAAATTATTTCAGATATTTGAAAAATGTATAATTCGTTTTTTTAATTATTAATGTTCGCTCAGTACATTAAAATGATTTCTATTCTCAATAATAAATGTACTAAATGCTAATATATGAATCTTGACTTTATTTATGAATGAAGTAATGAAAATTTTATTCTTATTAAACATGGTAGTTATTAGACTGCTTGACAACAAAAAAATACTATCATTTTCATTCTTATGAGTTATTAAGAAGCGTTTTCCAATTTCCAGAAAGAGTAAATCTTAAAATTTATGAAAATTTCGGCCATATCGAAAGAATCGATGAAAGAAGGAGATGCTTAAGTTACAGATAACTTTCGAAATTTTACAGCTCAATCGAAACCTATCATAAAACAAAAATAAATTAATCACTGATTCGAAAATTTCTTACAAAACTAAGAAGAAATTTCTGAAGTAATTCAGGGAAATTATTCAGTCATTACCAAGCTATGTCGATTCACTTTCAGATGGAAAAGAAAACTTTCTGCTCTAAAATATTGCGATATTTTATTAATTAATTAGAAATATTGGTGCACCCAGGATTTAAGAAATATTTTTCATATGTACATGTCAAGATACTTTATTATTGAGAAGAAGACGCTACTTTTTTCAAGTGTAGATGGTTTGTGAAACTTTATTAACCATTTTTGAAAATTAAAAATTTTTAGGAGGACAAGTTCTCGTTCTTGGTAGGCGTACAAATTGGTATTTATCGGGAATATGTAAATGGTAATTTTCGTATCTAATGAATTTCACTTGCAACTTTATAGCAAATACTGAAATTCTGTTTATGCTTTGCCTGAAATATTTTGTTATGCATTGTGTTTATAAGAAGTTCTAAATATTGTGCCTTTTTCCATGTTTCTTTTTTCTGAAAGTAGTTGAAAAATTTTTTTTTTTTTGTGTATATCGTTTATTATGGAAATTATCTCGAGGTTATCCAGTGATACATAAGGAACTTTGGAATTTTTCTAGACATTCTCTTGTGGTGTAAGAATAAACATTGAAAACATGGCAGTGCATAAAAACTAGTATCGGTCTACTTAATTTTTTTTTCAGAAAGAAACGTAAAAATTACTAGACTTTGTAGTTTTTGATCTGATGACTCTAACCGTATATTAATTTTGTCTTGAAATCTTAAATTAGAAACACTTATATCTCTTACAAGTTTGACCATTATCATAGGATTTCTTCGTATTGTGAGCCGAGAGAACAGATGCTTCTTCTGAATTGAAACCACAAATCAATGAGGTCACATATATGGACGAGCAAGAACGTTTACGCAGTCCTAATCTATAGATTTACGATCAATAGCCAATTTGGAAAGCCTGATATCTCACAAAATAACAATGAACATATTGTTCAAGTTGATCTAAATGTAATTCAAATCGTTCCAACACCTTGTATTTCCGTCAAAAAAGATAATTCCTGATCTTCTTCAAAGTTCAGCTAAAATATGAAGTCAAAATAAAATTTTATTTGAACGATTGAAAATAGTTATATTTTGGCGGAATCTTGAGGGAATCACGAATAAATTTTTCGACGAAAATAATAGTTTTTGGAACAATTTGAAACACATATAGATTAACTCTAACGATACGCTCAATGTTATTTTCTGAGATGTTGTAAGCGACATAAGTACATCTAATGTAAGATCTCATGATCATATTTATACATGGTTACAGTTATCAACTCAAACGCTACAGATCGATAATTTTATATGAAAGTTAAAATAAATTATCCTCCAATAACAAGTTCGATCCAAACGCAATTAGTTAGATTCACAGTAGTTAGATAAGGATTTGAAGACTTGTCAGTTGAATTTGTTCAGAAAATTGGGCACTTGTTCTTCATCTTGTTCGGAGTACGACTCAATAAGTTTTATCTTATAGACTAATCATATTTTCAATAACGCGAAATGTCCTCGCAGCCATTTTCATTTGCTTATATATGCGTGTGTTTAGAAGTTCGAATTAATATGATAGAGATCTATAAAACAGGAGCAAGACTAAGACAGCAAGTTAGACAAAATATTAAAACGAATAAGATTTTAATTCATAGACAATTAGAATTCTATTACAAGCATTATAATTCGTACGATACAAATGTGTTCAATATTTTAAAAACAATGCATAGAGTGAAAATGTTTTGTCTATCATTAAAAAAATTGAATAAAAGGTGGAGCCGGTAAATTTGAATCAGCTGTACTATAGACAGCAGCTTGTTTAAATTGACACGGTGTTTCTCTCCATAAGTAGCGAACACCATGCACTGATTTAGATAGGCATACTATTGGTACTCTAAGTTTGACAGTGATAGGTGATCTTGGAGCATAATTTGCTGGTGCAGCTATCCAAACTGTCTCGTTTGACATACATATTTGTTTTTCTTGACAACACATCTAAATAAATGAATACTAAAAACACAATAAGAAAGAATAAATTGAACATGCCTCAAATCCTTCAGAATTTCGCAATTCAATAGAGGATGAAAAAGTACTCAAGTAGGTAACATTAACTCGATCATCACTATCTCTTTCTATTTCGTTTACAATTGGTCCTTGGTAATTAACATCTTGTTGATTATAAGCAATGACAAGACCAGATCGAGATAGACGATATCCAACATCAAGTTTAGTTCGAGGATGAATACTATCAAACAACGTTCAAGTATATATTATATGTATTAACTTGTGTTTTTACCCTCCTTCATCGTCTCGTAAATCCATAGTTGTTGCCATAAATACATTAGGTATAGCATTGTTAGGAGTATATCCTATGTCAAAGGTTTGATGCCATCGAATCCAAGGAAATCCACCTATCATTTTGCCTGTTGTCTCTCTTGTTGATAACTATACAATGACAGATTTTTCAAAACGAAAAAAATCGGATCGAAAACAATTATCTTACTTGAACAAAACCAAATGGAAATATCGGATCAGTTATGAAATGTGTACGATTGTGCCATTGGCGTCGCCAATACTGAATCATTTTAAGAAATGTACATCCATATTTATCACGATTGTAGTTAACATTGGCTTCACCTAAATAATTTTTTTTTTTAATTTTATCCTGTTCAGTTTATTGATGTATACCTTGATACCAAATCACTCCTTTAATAACCATACGTGTAAATGGATAGATCATTGCATTATATAAAACTGAATCATTCAATCTTACATTAGGTTTCAATTCTGTTTCATCGCTATGTCCAAATTCTATTCGCTTATTTCTACAATTAAATTATATTAATATTAAAATTGCATTTCATAGGCTTACATTAAAATATCACAATCTTTAATTACTTGAGGTGGTGACCACATTTCAATTGCTGTACCACCCCACGATGTATGAATAAGACCGATTGGTCGTTTATCGTCAAGTCCTAGATGAATCATTCGACCATAGAGCCAACATACAGCTGATGCATAAATGCTACCAACACTTTTTGGCGATGCAATCGACCAATTGAGTGCAATACCCAAAAGATCTTCTTCAGGTTTTGTTGATTGCTGTCTTGATGCTGTAAATAATCTCACTTTTGGATATTTTCCCGCATTTTCAATTTCAATTGAACCATTAAAAATTTTTCGCACCGGCATTTCCATATTCGATTGACCAGAGCATAACCAAACATCTCCAAAAAGAACATCATGGAGACTAATCGATATTTGAGATCCATTTGAGAATGTTTGTATAGCAACAAGTTCGAATGGACCTTCTTCACTTTCGGCATCGAGTGGCACGGACCAGATACTTTCATTTGATGAATGAATTGATGACAAATAGCTGTTCGTATGATAAATCTTCTTGTTTATCTTCAAAATGATCGACACATTTTGGCCATCAGCATAACCCCATACGATTGCTTTTTGTGGAGCACGTTGAAGAACCATATGATTTTGATAATAGTTCGCAAATCGAAATTCGCCATCAACTGGAAGAAGAAATAGATTGTTCTATATTTATTTCGAAATACTTAATGAATTTTTTCACATAATAAAATAATTCGATGATTTTCAGTCAGAAGACATTCCAAGTAAACTCGTGAGAAAACAAAAAAGGAAAAAAGTTACTTTACTATATATCGTTCATACTTTGGTTTGTGAACAGAGTTAACAGAAGAATATATATTTGAAAATAATCCGTCATCATCATCTGTGTTATTAATACAAGAAATGTAATTTTTGAAGAAGATGCATGTTTCTGTTATCTTGTAAAATGTTTGAGATAAGATAACTGAGAAGGGAAAGGTTGCTCAAGGCATATTGTACTTTCTATATGACACGCACATATATCTTCAATGTTTGTAAAAAAAAATTATATTGAAGAGTTTAAGCAGTCATCTTATTATTGTGGAATTTTTTAATACTTGACATATCTGTTGTGGTAGATAAACTGATTTTATTAAGTACTTTCGGAAGTTTTTCTAATTAATAGTAACAAAAACATAATTGGAAATGTGTCTACATCTTCCAGCAGAAATATAACTATTAACGTCAATTAGTATACTGCGTGACCAACATTTTTGGTCACAATCACAAAAAAAATGCTTTTTCGATTACGCTTACGATCGTAATCACGATCACGATGAATCACAAAAAATAAATTGTTTAACCAAGTTTAGAGAAAAGTTGTTTACTGTTGGACAGTGTTATTTGGTAAATCCTACTTTGATCGAAAGATAAAAATATCGAAAGCGGAAATGTGAGAATAAAGTGTATAAGTATAAGTGAGGTTGAGAATGAGGTAATTTCTTCTTTGATGCACTATCCTTTTCAATATTTTTAGCTATCGACATCGCTAAAACTTGTTTACGATACTTTTATTTTAGACATTTTTACTCTTGACAATAGGTGGATGAGTCTGCTATCTATTTGATACGGGAATCAAAGTCGAATGGAATCCGAATGGAGATACTGTCGAAACAAATTAAATTGATTGAAGATTTTTTCTTAAAGCTGTCAAATCGAATCAAGATTTTCTCATTTGCTACGATTTCTGATGTAGCATACACTCCATTAAACAGAATCAACACTAGCAGAATGAGACAGTGAAAGTCGCTTGTATATAGTGTAGTGCAGTGTTTCTTATGGCAAGTGCATCGAGAAGTACAATGGACAACAAAATGTATGTGTACAGTTTGCTCATATAGAAAAATTTTACATATACACCTTGTTTTAAATTTTCATACGAAACATTGGTCACCATCACGACCACTATAACGAAATTTTTTTTTCCAATCGTAAGCATGTTCACGAATTTTTCCTTCAGTTATGATTACGGTCAAAATGACAATCATGCAGTTCACTGACCTACATCCACACCCCATCCACATCTGTTTCTTTTTATTACAGCGTAACGTCATATAATAGTACGTAGTGGAGTTTTATGCATGCTCTATAACAAATAAACTAATTATCACAAACGTGTATGTTAAGTTGCTTTTATTTCAAAAAAAGAAATTAGTCATGTTTTTTTTTATCTTAATGAAGCATTAATCAGCGACAGAAATCGAATGAAGATGTCTTTATACAAGCTTTTTCTCTGGATTATAAATCCATTCAACAAAAAAAACAAAAAGAAAGGAATAAAATAAAGATCATCTGTTCTTTTATTTAAAAAAATATGATAAAATACTAATTATCGTTTTCCAGTCTTTTGCTGAATGACAGGTCTTGTGATTCACTTGAATAGCCGTTGAATGACAGTTGAATTTGATGAAACAAAAATAAAGACTGAACGAAGATTTTCGGTTATGAAACGTAGTCAAGAAATCCGAAAGTGAAGAATAACTATTTAAATTTTCAGGCGTAAATTTATAATTGAAACTAATTAAATTGATTTAATGGTATTATATGAAACCTATGATCGATGAAAATGAATTTCATAGATGCTAAAGAAAAGAATGCCAATTTTGAAGTTATAATCAGATTCGTATAGTTGTTGTAGACAGAAGTGTTAGTTGTGAATAAATAACTAAACGATGCGCATGTATACTATTATTTAAATGCTGCTGGATAGATTCAATACTTTCTCAATGACTGCTTATTTACAATCTTATAACAGTCTTTCGTTATGATAAGTTAAATAATAGAAATCTATCTTTCATAATATCGAGATTTACTGAATGATTTCTGCTTATTATTTCTTTGACAACTATTTAACTACTAATTTATTTCGAATAAAGCTTTTTACTAAAAAAAACCTTATTCTTTTATTATATTTTTTTCGAGTAACTTTAGTATCGACCAGATTTCACTTGTTGGATTTTGAAGAATGCACTCAGTTGATGAAACTTCGATCTTTCAAACATTAATCATATCCTTATAAATAATTTTATTCTATAAAATTGATAAGCTAAATATGAGAATAAACAAGTTCAAATCGATCGACTCGAATGCGAAGAAAAAACAATCCATTCACATAGAGAAAAAATCGATCATTAAATGTTGAGTCAATACCAATGAATCATCGTTCTCCATCCAATATTTGTCAAGATAAGAATAAACAGGATCAAATTCATTTTATACAATCCGTCATGCCATGAAATTCAAGCAGGAAATTTTTTGACATAAGATTGTTGTTGTTTTTTCTCTTGATTTCAAGAAAATTAATCTTTTGTTTTCGAATTCATTCAAAGATTTTTTTTTCTTTTGAAGTTGATTTCTTGGACCAATTTGGTAGGGCAATATCATGCATATATTGTCAAAACTGAACTTAGTATCATAAGTTTCTTTATCGTTACTCAATGAAAAGTTGTCCAAGTGAAAGACATTTCTCAAAAAAACAAAAATAATCACAATAATTCTTAGACATGACTCCATCAATGAGATAAGTTGATTCCTTGAAGAACAAATTGCGACAGATCTATTTTGCACATACTCCGTAATTACACAACAGTGACTCAAGCAAGAAAAGAACAATCTCTCGTCGGAATGTTGACATATGTTGATTTGAAAAGTAGCTTTGTTAATCATAATGGAAGGTGAGGTGTAATTGCGAAATAATCTCAGTTGAAGAATAAAAACTCTGTCATCACCGAGTTCACATTTCAAACAACTATTTTCAACGAGAATCGATGTTTTTGATGGATCTCAAAAACGAAATTCTTCAAGAAATCGAACAATTGTCAGTGAAAAAGCATAAAGAAGAAACAAAAGCGACTTATTGTCCAAGAAATGATCCCAGTTTTTATTCGAATCTACTTTGGAATTCATCATCTTACGATGATGTCGAACAAATTCAACTAGAATTGATCCATGTAGAGAATGAGGATCAACGTGATTTATTTAATTTCATTCGGCATAATATATCATCAATGCCTCAATGCGAAACACCTGGTCGTGTTTTGTCAGTTTTAATTCACGATAAATATTCGAAACGTTTTCTTGGTATTATTCAACTGACAACTGATCTATTGAAAAGTCAATTTAAAGACGATTTTATTGGTTTGGATGAGAAAAAACGGGGTCAATTGAAGCAATACATTCGTAATCATTCGGCTAATTTGTCGATTTGTGTTCCTGTACAACCATTTGGATTTGATTTTTGTGGTGGAAAATTATTAGCTATGCTCGCGTTCTCCTTAGAGCTTCACCAGATGTATGAAATGAGATATTTGAATTCTTTGGCCTTGATCACCACAACATCGATTCATGGAAAATCCGTTCAATATGATCGACTTAAGCAATTGAAATTTATTGGCTATACTCAAGGATATGGAACCAGTCATATTCCAATGTCCTTTATGAACAAAGTATATCGTTTTTTAGAAGAAAATTATCCAAAATTCAATGTTCGAAAACAATCGAAATGGCAATCATTACGATTTCTAGCGCAACAATTACATATTGATAGTAATCAACTTTTCTATCACGGTGATCAACGTGGAATTTATTGTGGCTGGACTGGTAGTAACGCCAGAGATTTTCTTCTAAAAAAGAATGCAAATTATGACAGAGATAAACTTCAATCAGTCGAAACAATAACTCAATTCTGGAAAGAAAGATGGGCCAAACAACGTGCAGCTCATTTGAAAAAACAGAACACATGAAAATATTTGCAAACAAAATCATCTCGATCTAAACATTTTACATGACCAGTTAACAGACGAAGAACATCATTCAATTACGACTATTCGAAAGTTTAGGGAAAGAATCTTCCTACTAATGGAACCGTTCCAATTTACTGCTGAATGGGTCAAATATGACTGAGTCTTTTTCGTTATTGTTCTTGGCATGGGCAATGGGCAATGATGAGTGAAAAATGAACTCAGCAAATGATATATGTATTTTCATGATAAGTAATCGTTTCAATAAAGCAGTCGAAGATAGGTTGCTACTGGTAATCGTATCTGTTTTCACGCATAGGAAAACAAGGATGTACCAATGCTCAATTTTATCGATTTGAAATAAACTGATTTGGTCGAACTTTTTGGGGTGTGTGGGTCAAAAGAATATTCACTCTCACATCCACATCCATGATGAGGCTTTGTTCCTATCAACTGCTATTGTACATTTATAAATATTGGGTGGTAATAGACCTTCCAAAACAAGAATCGATTGTTGAACGATTCTTAAATTTATGATTTTTCATCAACATTTTTAGAATCGTCTAGAAAGTGCTGTCATCTCATTGTTCTAGTCTATAGATAGAATACTGTGCGAAATATCAGCAGATGAGAACACTAATGCATCAGCACTTCTTGTTGTTTCCATATAAAATCAGTTCGGAAACTTTTTGAAGGCGTTGGTCGTAGAAACAAAGAAAGCTCGATGACGTTTGTTTTTACCAGTGCTTTGGCTTTGGATAAACACATAGTTACAGAATAGTTTGACAGATCTAGTGCTTGATCATTTGAGACTCCAATTGCCTGATGGATCTTCTAATAGGGATGAAATCATGATCGTGGTAACTATATCTCACTTTCAGCTGGATTATCTAAATGATCGTCAGAACAACACTTCATTTTTCTTCATCGAAGAAATTTTTATTTGAGAAGATACATAATGATAAAAAAATCGACCTAAACGTTATCGAATGTAGTCCGACATTGATCTTCATATTTTTCTCTAATCAGACTTGATATATGTTGCAAGTTGCTCTCGACTTCTCGGACTCATCGTTGTTTTCTTTTATGCCTCAAAGCATTAGCCAACTTGATAAAAACAGTGCCATCAAAACTGTCATAATGAATACCACTCCAAGCATTCTTCTCGTGCACTATTTCATATCTATTGATAGATGACTAATAGGTGTTTCAATGTGCGCGCCACATCTGCCATTTTCACCTTGACAGATGTGAAATTCACTTGGTATCCAATGATAAGATTCACATAAGTTCAATGGATTAAAATTTCATTTCTTGCATGCGTGATATGCCATCTTCTCTTCATCTTTTCAGACTTTTCATAGCAGGTAGAATTGGTAACGGTGACAGTGATTGTGGTTTTACAGGCTTACACCTCAGAAGATCAGGATCAATAATATTTTCAATGAGCAACGAATTCTTATGATAATCCCTTCGTTCATGATTCAGTTTGCAACATGCTTCCAATGATTGTTTCCTCATGTCAGTACTGAAGCCATTAATATGTTCAGTTAGAGCACCACATATCCAAGTTGGATATTCAAGATCTATTTCATCACCATCGCCACATTCGAAATGCTTTTCATAGAAATTAATTGGACGAAAACTATCACCATCGTGAGATATACGCGGACAGTTATCCGATGCATTGTCATCTGTTGTTCACATAATATAGTTCTTGTTTTTTCACTAGGATGCAACAGTAATGTTTTAAAATTGTTTTTGTGCAGTTTTATATATACTTACTAGTTTGTTGTTTTTATAAAACATTCACGCAATCACTTGTATTTATGAGTCAATATTTTGAATGTTAAAAGAAATGTTTCACTTGATACACATTCGCTATGAGTAATACAATGGAAGAGAAAACAATTACCAGCAATATCAATAAAAATATACAAACAAACGAATGTAACTTATCATACATTAAGATCAACAAAAACGAGACTTTGAATGCCTACTAATCCAGGTATAGTAACAAGGGGTATTTAAATAAATCAAGTATACTGAAAACAAAAGGTGAGAGTATGTCGGTTTGGGGTGTGAGTGTTTATGCTAGTGGGTCTAGCTAATATATTAGCCAAGTATCAGATGATGACAAATTTTGATATCAAATACTGAATAACACTTCATGAATTTTATGAAGCTAGAGAAAATTCTAATTTTTGATGAAATCACTGAAAATCGTTACAGAAATATCGATGAGACCTATGTTGACTGGTAGAAATGAAACGACAAGTATCGTGTCCAGTATTTATCAAAAAAACAAGTGTACTTCACTAAACAGAGCTCAGAATTTTATGAAGATAAAGACGAGCTTATAATTGTCCTCTTTTTTTCTTTTTTTACATGGGCCATTGACTAGTCGAATTAATTAGCTACGTCAAAAAGGGATCAATAATCATGAATATTGCTTTCAAGAAACGACAGACTTTAGTTATAAAATACGAACTACACTTTTAGATAATAATTCGTGCAACAATGGTCAATTTTCGTCAAAGATTCCAACATTTTTTTTGAGGTTGCTTCGCTCACACTTTTGACAAAATGAGATGTGTTTTCGAAAAATATACACAAAATGATTGCCATTAATGTGTCAACAACAGTAGCTCATCATAGTCTATCGTGAATAGCATAGACATAGTAGATATACAAAAATAGAACGATTGAGGACATCATCAACTGCTGATAATTTAATATTTCATGTCTTCAGCATGAGTATAACAATGCGCTGCGTGCAATTTGAGTGTGTCATATCATATTATCATTGTTAATCTCATAGTTAGACAAGTATGTTTCGTTAGCTAGAATGTAAGAAAATATTTAAATAGTGTGTGAAGATTGTAGCGAATAATGATCGATTCATTTAAAATGATCTAAACAATAATGAAAATTTCTTGAATAATAGTGATATAATATGTAATAATATAATAGGACTTGTATATATTGATATATTTAAAATAAAATAAAATAAATGACAAAAATCGAAGTTAATTTCTATTAATTATATAATACAGAGGTGGGATCGGTTGGCATTTTTGCCAAACCGAACCGACCGTAACCGAAAAAATCTCTAACCGAACCGAACGTAACCGACCGAATTTTTTAAAATTTCTAACCGAACCGACCGTAACCGAAAAAATCTCTAACCGAACCGAATGTAACCGACCGAATATTTAAAAATTTCTAACCGAACCGACCGTAACCGACCGAATTTCAAAAATTTCGTAATCGAACCGAGTTTAGAGAAAGCGAAGTTTAGCTTATTCTAGTTAGGGTATTAGTGCTTTATAAATTAGCAACAACAAATCAAATAATAGCAACTAAAAATAATGAACACTTAGAGAAAGCAAAGAATAAAGATTATTTATTGGATCTTCTTACTGTATTATAACTTCCTTACCTCTCAGGGCAAATTTTAAAAATATGTGAGATAATCCGCGTTGCGAGCAACAGCTAGTTGTTGTACGATTATATTCTTTTTTCTTCTTATGTTTCACTGAAAAAGTCCATTGAACTCAAATGAAACGATTATGTTGATTCTTTCTAACCGAACCGAACATAACCGACCGAATTTTTTAAAATTTCTAACCGAACCGACCGTAACCGAAAAAAGTCTCTAACCGAACCGAACGTAACCGACCGAATTCTCTAAAAATCTCCAACCGAACCGATTTCGGTTACGGTCGGTCGGTTCGGTTCGGTTAAAAACCGAACCGGTCCCATCTCTGATATAATAGTTGGAAATTTCTTTTTTTATAGAGCTTCGAGTTCTACCGACTCATCATCAGTATGATATCACTATTATTCATTAAATTTGAAGTTTAATGGGCAACAATACAACATCATGCTGATACTGATGATGGGTCAGTAGAACTCGAAAGCTCTATAAAAAAGAAATTTCCAACTATTATATAATTAATAGAAATTAACTTCGATTTTTGTCATTTATTTTATTTTATTTTGGAAATTTCTTGTTTAAACGTAGTTTATTCTGTAGCAACAAAATGATGCTGTTTTAACGGTTTACAGTAAAAAAAGAACACTAAAAAAAGCTTTGAAAAACGTGTTTAAAGTACGAATTGAATCAACTCACGTGTTTAAACGTTTTACAACAGTAAAAACACTGGTTTAACGCGTTTTAAAGCTCTTATAACCGGTTTTTGTCCTGCTGAGCACACCCACATCCTTATTCTTATTTCTTGATTGTCCGATTTTCGTTGTGTTTCATGATGTTGGTTTAACATATCTGAATGATTGTGAAGAACAGAATTACTGATAGTGCCCATGGAGTAAAATATTGAAGGAAACGGACTGCGTAACGCGTTTCCGAGGTTATAGCATGCGTTTCGCAACGTTTTTGCAATATAGGACGCGTTTCGCAGCATTCTTACTTACAAAAAATGCGTTTTGCCACAGTCGTTTTTTGAAACGATCCGAAACGCTTTTTTTAAGATTGCGTTTCGAGGCGTTTCTGAATTAAAATGCTGTCGAACGCACTTTTGTCGACAGGTGACGCGTTCCACAGATACAAATTGGGGGAAACGTAAAACGCGTTTCTTTTTCAAATGTGTGTTGCATTGTTTTTGCTTGGAATGATGCAAAATATATCCATTCTGCATACAGAAACTTGCAGAAATTCACCAACACAAAGCATAGGAGTTAAGCAAAGTAAATTCTTTAAAATTACTTTGGAAATGATATGAAATAGCACTTGAAAGTTTTGCTCCTTGCACTACTTTTGTACGTGAAAATCATGACCAAGGATTTTATGAAGGCAAGACTAAAATCAAAGTCTTGGAAATTTTTAGGCTGCTAGGCTGTTATCTAGACCTAATTCGAAGTTAGACTAATGTAAAACATCAAAGTGTAACAAAAAATATATTCTTCTTACTTAAAAACTCATTTCACCACGTTTTTATTGAAAGAAAACGTGTTTCGTAAGGTTTACTTAAGAATTTTTTTCGACTTGTCCACGGAGGGAGATGATTCCGTCACGCTCGTTTGTAATGAATGAGAAGTTACAGACAAATTTGCAGTGTCTCATTTTGACAAGCACAATTTTTTGTCCAAGATTGCAAATGCATCGAATTCTAGAGATCGAGTCATTTGTATGAAATAAAACAAATAAAGCGTGACGGAATCACGTTTTACGTGGACAGGTCGTTTCAAGTATTGAGCATTTCGAAGAGATTTAGTAAAGACTGATACTAACATAATTAGTATAGTAACTCTCTTTGGTTATTTGTGAACAAAAGAATTATCGTGTTATCTACAATTTGAATAAATATTAGTTTGAGTTCATACTCGAACTAATTGATAATAACTAATGATACTGTGTACAATACTAGTAAACATGATTTTAGTATGTACATTGTTGAAGTAAGAGTGACTTTTTAATAAAAGAGATTCGATTTACAAAAGAAAACTCCTTTCATTTATTGATGTAATTGGATAAAACGATGACGGATTTACATTTACAAAAATCTATTAATCAAGAAAATAAATAGAAGATTAAATTTTAAATTTTTTAAAATTTATATATAAGAAATTTAATTTTTTATATATTAAATACAGTGTAAATCGATTAAATTCGTTTCTATTGTGTATCTAAATTTAAATCTGAAAGAGTTTAAATAAAAAATGTATCAAGAAAAGACCACACTCGTAATTGGACATAGGCACCAAAGAAATGATAATTTTTAATTCAGTGGAATGGAAACTGAAAATCTAATTTAGTAAGTTTACGCGGGACTCTAAATGACAGTAGAATAAACACTTGTATCGTTAGATTATTTTAGTTGAACGGTTTGTATACATGTCTTATACTCCTATGTTCTCGTGTTCGAATCCGTGTCTTGACTGCATCAAAATTCATGTAAGTTATAGTTCTAAAGGCCTATGAAAAAATGTAAACGAATACATAAATTGTACCTGCAATTCAAGATCTATGAAGTAGTGTCCTGCGGGAACGACTTTTTTCCCTAATTTTCCCATTCCCATTCCCATTCCCATGGGAATGGGAATTCCCATTTAGACTTAGGGAATGGGAACATGGGAATGGGAATTCTCATTTAGACTTAGGGAATGGGAACATGGGAATGGGAACAGAATTAAAAATTGACGTTCCCAAAATTCTTTCTATCTTTTTTCAATACACATAAAAATATTTCTATCTGATAACTGTTTATTTTCAATAACTTTTCTTATTCATATACAATTAACAGAAAAATAACAAATGTGTATCAGCAAAAAATAGACTGCTTATTGGTTCTTAACCACATCGTAATTTAATCATCACAAATATTGGCATTGGTTAAGCAGGTGTTCCTTCGTGTATGCACTATACATGCAAGCTGGTGTTCCTTTTCATTAAAAAAGTGTTCCATCGTCTAATAAGAAAATGTATAGTCAACATAGTGTTCATCATATAGGGAGAATATTCCTCTTACGGTAAAGTGTTTCCCTCCCTTCCCCCAAATAGAAAATAAAAAAAATTATAAATAAATATTAAGGTTATTTACAACAAAAAACAAATGATTTATCAATAATAATCTCAATATTTATTTATAACTTTTTTAATTTTCTATTTGGGTGAGGGGAGGGAAACACTTTACTATAAGAGGAACATTCTATATGATGAACACTAGGTTGACTATACATTTTCTAATTAGACGGTGGAACACTTTTTTAATGAAAAGGGACACCAGCTTGAATGTATATGTATAGTGCATATACGAAGGAACACCTGCTTAACCAATGCCAACAAGAGCAACAAAACAGGAAAAGAAAAGAAGTGAAGCACTATGTAACAACGTCGCGATGCGCAAAACGTGATGTCTCGAGAAACTGGTATACATATATGCCAATGACACTTTCGCATAGATGAATAGAGCCTTGGAAAACCTTATGGGAATTATGGGAATGGGAACGTGGGAATGGGAACAAAAAAAAATTTTTAGGGAATGGGAAAAAGGGAATGGGAACAAAAGAAAATTTTTAGGGAATGGGAAAAAGGGAATGGGAACAAAAATTTTTTTTTAGGGAATGGGAATAGGGAATGGGAATCAGAAAAAGTCGTTCCCGCAGGACACTACTATGAAGTCATTGACCATTTTCAATTTATTTTCCATCTAGAATTTACGACACCGCAGTTTGAGAAACGCTGCGAAATTTTTCACAAAAACAATCGTTACACAGCGTTTGTTTTAGCAGATGTGAAACGCGTCAAACCGGTCAGCATTAACGCGTTTCGCAGCTATGGAAAAATGCGTTTTCAGAACGCGTTTTTTTCGCAGAAATTTACACGATGGGTGGGGAACAATATTAAATTTATTTCGAGATCGTCCTAGGATATCCTGCGATGTCTTTTATTGATTTGAGCAATGTCGTTCTCCAATTATTACTCCTCTGATTACTCTAGAGCGAGGAAAATGGCAAAAGACAATTACTGATTGATCTCATGTCTTTCATTTCATGTCAGATGACATGAATTTATGACAATGGATTTTCATGGGCTAATATCATATCACATCCTTGTATTTCAAGATAGATCATCAAAAACAAAGCTATGCGACACCCACACATACAATAAATTTTAACAGAGATTAATGAAACAAATATCCGCAATTCAGGTCATTTTTGTATATTTATTAGTGTTATTCATTTCAATCAAGCAGTATTAATTTTACTTCGAATCCAATTGAGATAGGCACTAGTACGAGTGTAAATACCCGGATGACTTGCGGAAGCACAACCCTCTCCGAAACTGACCACACCGGAAAGATACCATTGATTATTTGCATTGTACATTAATGGACCACCACTATCACCTTGACAACTATCCTTTCCGCCGATGTTTGGAATACCGGCACCGATCTGTCGTCGTACATCGAATACATTTCCATAAGCTTTTTGTGCTTGATTATTCATCACATTGACAGAGACCTGACGGAGTGAGTTGGCGCTGTTTCCACCTGATGATAGAAGACCCCAGCCAGCCACTGTGACGCGTTGAGATTCCTGAGGATCAGGTCCAGGTAAACAAATTGCATTGACATAGTCATTGAATTGTGCCGGTTGTGCAAGACGAATCAATGCAATATCGTGGGCTTCAGTTATTGAATTGTATTGTTCATGGATGAAGATGCGTGACACTCGGAGGTTTTGTGAGCGCGGTCCGTTGACATTAGTTCGTTGATGTAAACCAGCAATGACTCGAAAATTTGTTGAGTCTATGCAATGTGCAGCCGTAAGTACGTGACGATTATCAATCAGTGTACCACCACAGAAATGATCGCCTGATTGCAACGAAACAATCCATGGCCAAGAATGAGCAACGGCTTCGACACCACCAACAATTCGTTGAGATGATGGAGTAATGGCCTGACGACCACAGGTGTTAGCTGTCATCGGTTTAGTCGTAGCAACCACTGGTGGCATTGTCGGCGTTACAGGTTGTCCAATGCTGTTTGTGGGACAACAGTAGCGAACCTTGTAATCAGCGCACAGTTTCGTTTTAAAATTGACGACCTGTTGATTCAAACACAAGAAACCGTCTGTTTTGGTAAATCGAAAGACGTCACCGGTTTTTGCTGGCTCATCATCAGATAGTGTTCGAACCTAAAAGAAAACTTAGTATTATCATTACGAATTAAAATAAGAACCATGCTTGAACCATTCAATTGAAAATGATAGCCCTATCTACGTCCATCATATAATGTCTGAGAGTTAGATAGAATATTATTCTGTCCGTCTGCCACAGTCTGTAGAGCAGGCTGGCGCTAGGAAAGAGAAGGGAGCGATTGATCACTTTTCTTACTATATACTTCAACACTTATTTTCACTCGTGTTTGACAAAAAGAGAAGCTTCCATGTGTAGGACATTGAGCCTACTTCGATAGCAATCGGATCAGGACACATGAAACTTGGAAATAGTTGTTGAATATGCTTGGTTACTTCGAATTCACCTTGCGACAAATTCGGATCAGATGTATCAAACCACGTTGTCCATTCGTTGTTGTTCGTACAACTATTCTGGGTAAATGATGATGGATCGAACATGGCTTTACTCATAAGAATACTGAGTGAAGAGAGTAGCATAATTGTTGAAACAAACATTGTACTTTGTGCAAGTAAAAACTGCAATGCTTGTGATTTGAGAATCAATAACACCACGTGTGAAACTTCGAACTTTTATAAGAACCTCATTAAGCTTTTCAATAAAACAGATGCTTCCTTTTTTTTTTCGTAATTGTCATTGAAATATGATCCGATGATTAAAACTAAATATTTGACTTTTCTCTCGAGCCATGATATCAATCAGCAGATAAATATGTGCGCAAGATTCTATCAAAAGTAAATTGATGTTTAGAGTGCAAGTGCATTGTAAGCTCTGTGAAAAAGAGAGCCTGTTTTGATAATAACAATGGTCCATTAGATTTTAGTTTGAATTGGATAAGAAAAGACGAATTCAAGGCGATGTTCGTTTCCTGAATTTTTTTTAATTGTTATTCATATAGTACCTTACTGAAAGATCATCATGGCAATGATAATAAATAGATTTGTTTTGATCAAACAACTCTTCATCGCCTATTGTAAAATGGCTAAACACTTTGCTGAAATGAGAGTACCACTTTAATAAACAAATGAAACTGTGGTTGTAGGGTAAAGATACTCGTTTTTCCCACACCGAACAGATCCAAACTTGGAGTTAACTAAGTCTGTATTCGAGTTTTGTCAATTATATTGGGCCTCTTTGATGCACATGACCGAACGAACGATCAAGATTTTAACTATTTAATGGCTCTTCGTAGAAATATAGTCATTCTAATGCTGAATCGTAGTCGAAATACTATGTATAAGTAGGCTGACTTCAAGTCTTTTCTATAAAAATTGGATCTGATCCAAAATTAAAGTTCAATATGAATTAGGACACTGCTAGTCTGTCTACCGAATGGTCCAGTCTGATCGGTAAGGAAAACAATCTATCAGTTGCAAGTCTGGAACGAGGGACTGATGTCTTGTGAAAGTGGATATTGATTAGAGCTTCGGAATCTTTAGAATACGATAGTATTAAAATGTATTCGAATACTTAGTTGCATGGAACAAAGTTCATAAACGGTAATCAATGCAATCTCGATTCGCTTTAGGACTGTGGCCATGATTGTAAAGAAGTCATATACACCCGTTTACTACAACAAGAATACTGGGTGGTTTGTTTTGTCAAATAAACAAAGTTTACATCGAAACTAACATATCGTTTATTTGTCTCGTTCTATTCTTTTCTGCTAAGGGGGTAGGTATGGGTGCTTGCTAATTTGCACTGAGCAAACGAAAGAAAAAAAAATGAGAGATAATGAAAACAAAAGAATAAATAAAGTTATCAGCTTCACTTGTGAAGCTGGAAAGCCAACAGTAAGGTATGACGCACACACTATTTGACCGGCAAGGACATGCTAATAAATACCTACTCTATCGGCAATCTTATCCATCGGACCTCTACAGTCGTATTCGGGAGTTTTATTTCGATGGTCAACTGGAACAAAACAAAATTCCTCTGGCGCTTGATATAGCTTGTGGCAGTGGCCAAGCAACTGTGGATATCAGCAAGTAAATTTTTAATTTTGGATATACCACATGTGTCTAAATCATTGTGTCAATTATTAGGCTGTTGATTATCTGATTGCAGAACTTGATTTCTAATCAATAATAAGAGCACGGTTTTAATGCGATGATAATTTGATTATTCAGTATAAAAAGACAAATTCATGTAGTTTGAATTGATTAAAGCAGATTCATATAAAATAAATCTGCTCTTTTATATTAGATAATTGGACTAAAACCGAGCCGTTGTAAACGATAAGGAGTTAATTTTTCGGTTTCTTACACGAGATTTAGTTAAAATGATGCCATGTTACCTCCTACGGTCAATTTTTCAGAGCTTCCTAAAATTCAACCACTGAAAGGCAACTAGTATGAACACTTACTATAAGGATGCTAGGCAAATGTTAACTTTAATATATTAATATTTATAAAAAGTTTTTGAAATTCATAGTGTTTTTTTTAAACTGTTGCGACTAATTGAAGTCCTGGTCTTACAAATTCGTATTCAATAAGTTTTACTAATTTGGAAAGTAGAACATGACAAGATGACGAAACCAAGAAATAACTCACAAAAAACCGAGTAGAATGTCATACAGAATAACTCAATCCATCATTTTGATCCATATATCACTAGAAATAAGAGCCAGTGTTGTTACAACAAATTTTGAATAAAGACGATTTAGTTTTTAAGAAATATCTCAAGCAGTTTCAGATGAGAAATAAGATGTGGAAACAAAATTTTAACAATCTATAGTTTATAAAGTACTCAACAATCTGGCTTCAACGAGTGTTTTTATTTGCTGCTTCGTTACTTTTCTACTGCGATTTGGCATGAACTTCTTACATTTAAAAGAAAGCCATTTACGAGAAAGAGTGCAATATCCTTGATTTTTCTCATACATACTTTGATTGATCTAAGAGTAATTTTTTCTTTGACAATATCAACACAATTAAATTGTCTTTTCTTTGTTCAGGACATTTTCTCATTATGATTAATGATCCTCTGAGAGATTTTCACGTGGTTTAGTGCATCTATTTAATTGATAACAAAGTTTTTTCATAGAAAAAAGCATATAGAAAGGCCATGCGATTTAGTCGAAGTTACCACTTAGAGTGTTCATCTCAACCGTTCGAAAGGGCTCTGAAGAAAAGCCAGGAAACCTTTAGAAGAATTTTACTTCCTGAGGTCCTATAATCTCCTAACCATGCGAACAATTTTCTCTGTATAAAACTATTTTGAACTTATTGGCATGCACTTAATCTCATTTGTAGCACCAATGTATCGTATTTGCAGTCAGTTATAAGCCGCTTGAATAGAATAAACTATCTCTAACTATATGAAATTCCAGGAACATAAGTGATGGCACTTTAAGCTTGAAATGTCAATCTTTTGCGTTTAAGATTTTCAATGGGAAAAAGTAAACATCCTATAAATCTGACTAGTCAATTGAACTGATATTTTTGTCTGTAGGTAGACCATGATAAGACTAGGAGAAGTCTGTACCGATTCGTCACAATCTACTCTCTTCTCCAATTTATTACAGTCTTACTGAACTTCTTGCCTCTGAGACTGTATTAGTTAAAAACAACGAATTACAATATTTCTACCTGAAATTTTGATTGTAAAAACACTGAGCTTGCTTATCTTTCTTCGTGGCACATGACTGTTCTTGGATATTCAGTATCTAAAGATGGTTAGATCTTTTAGTGCCTAAATTTTCAGGGCCTTCTGATCTTCGTGAAATTCACCGACGAGCATAATTTTAAGTGGAAATTTCGTAATTCGATTTTTTCACAACTACGTTGTCACATATAATTTTTCAAAAACAGCACTATTCGGTAGATACAATATCAAACATTGATGTTTTGAAAGTTTAATATGTCGGCAACTTACTACTCCAGAAATGATGACGCTTCATAGATGAGCTAGTTATAGCAAGACCTTCATGTTGATAAAGCTTTAGATTAAAATTCGAAGACATAAAAACGAACACTTTGGAGATTATTCCAATCTACTGGTTCCCTACATATAGGCATAATATGAAGGGAAACAGAACGAATCACTCGAAAGTATTTTTCCGTGAAGCTTACAGATTGTTAAATATGATGCGAAAATGAAAGCTTCATATGGAGAAGTTCCATTATTAGTGCATAGTAGCCAAATGGTAGATATGAGCACTCTTATTCGTCTGCTCAAATTCAAACAAATAGATTCAGATAATCTCTCGTAGTTTTGTTAGAGCATTTTGTTGTTAAGACAGCCAACGTACTATCGTGTTCGCACTAATAATGGTAGTTTATAAAAAAAACTTATGACAATCATTTCGATACATCTGGTAACTCGTAGAAAAAAATAATGATTTTGTACACAGGTATTGTGATCGAGTGATTGGTATTGATGTAAGTGCCAATCAAATTGCACACGCGATACAGAAGGACAACGTGGAATATCGATGTCAGAAAGCAGAAGACTTAACTTTCCTCGAGGATAATTCCGTGGATTTGGTTACAATTGCTACGGGTCTGCATTGGTTGGATATCGATCAATTTGTCAGTGAAGTTCGACGTGTACTTAAGCCACATACAGGAGTTTTTGCTGTATGGACCTATGCGACATTGACACTGGATAATGCAAAAGCCGATGCTATATATCATGAATTGGAACTCGTTGAACTCTATCCTTATTGGAATCCGAGACGATGGCTGGTAGATGATTATTATCGATCACTACTGCCACAATTACCATTTTCATCAACGCGTCAAGAATTTACGTTCAATGAATTCCATGAAACAACTCTCAAATATTTTCTGGGATTATTCGAAACGCTTTCAGCTTCGCAAACCTATCGTGAACAGAATGGTGAAGAAGCATTTCAAACTCTTTTAAATTCGTTTGGCAACAAACTTCGGCAATGTTATCTGAATTCGATAGATCCAACCGAGATTGAAGTACTACCCGACTATGAGGACATAAAAATCAAAATTTCATCGTCAATGCGGCTTTATTTGATGCGAAACAATGAAAATTGATCTGTGATCAATTAAACAAGAAATAAATCATATTCAACTTTGATAATAAACACTGACGATGCTAAACGCTTGTCGAAAATAGCACTTGCATTCGAAAGAACTTCCCACATTGTTATTCATGTTCTTATCGAGCACACAAAATGCGAGAGACAGAGAGAGAAGATGGAGTGACGAATAAAAGGAAAAAGCTCGAATCAGTCAATCGGCTTTCATCAAATCCGATTCGATACTGCCTTTCAGATAAAGAGTTGGAGCGTTGTTCATTGCATTCGTTACGGATTGTACATGGTCCGGATCCACTTTGCATAGAAGCATTTTGTGAATTTTTCGAAATAACTCATTGGCAAACGTCAGACATAAATGATGATTCTCTATTCATGCATCTCGCCCTTCTCGAAGTCGCCTAGAAACCTTGAAAGATCACAACGAAAGTAGAGACCTTTACCAAACGGCTCATACACACAAACAAAATAAACCAATCCTAGATAATGAGCCATTTTGATTCGATTTCATTGCCTTTGCAGTAAAGCTAGCCATGACAATGATCTTCAGACAATCTTCAAGCTGCGAACAAAAAACTGAAGATTCAATTTTCTGATTGGTATTCCGTAATACACTCAATGTATTTTGACATCAAGAAACATTGACACGATGGATGTGGGTGTGAGCGGATTAATATGTGAGTCTTTCTTTAGATGTGCCGAACCACAAACCCACATATACACTCAAATCCTTAGTACGTGTGTTATAAATATGAGGCGAGGATGCGGGTTCAGATTTGGCTTTTCTTTTTAATCACACTAGTACACCCAGACCCATATCCCATCCGTATCACATATACTTTAATGTAATTAAGGTTGTGCTTAGGGTGATGACCATAAATGTAGATATAAAAGCATAAATATTTACTTTGTGCATCATAAATGGTGTGTTTGAAACCATAAATCTAGAGGAAAAGTATAGGTGTAGAAAAATTTTCAAAAAAAAACTTGTACATACCCTAGGATACGGTGGTGTGGATTCTATACTAAAAATTTTGATTTTCTCAACATTTTTGCATATTGATTATTTGCTGTGCATTTTACTTCGAAATATCGTCGTTTATGATTACCGAACTCTACACTCATCCGTAAGACTCTTTTAACTTATGGTTTCCAGTAATAAATAGATAGCAGTTGTTAGCTTCATATGTATAGAACGAAAGAGACAAGCAGTGTCACTGATGTTATGTGACAGAACGATGAAAAAGATGACCTTCATGAGACTCGAACCCATACCTTCTGCTATCCGGGCAGATGTCCTAAGCCAATTAGACTACAAGGCGCATCTTAATCATCGTTTAGCGTCCAAGTGAATCATCATGGACGCTAACAGCAGTATAACCATTAGTTGCTTAATTTTGTCTAATTTTATTGTTGAGGCGATAAATATACAGTTTTTGAGTTATACATGTAGAAGGAATATCAAATATTATGAATTTTTTGTGGTTGAACATCTCCCGTTTTTATAGGTTTTAAAAGATGTGCATTCAATAAATCGATCTAAGTCAACCAACAACAAGATTGAAGAGAGTACTATAAGGTTGACTCCCTGTCGAAACGACTGAATTCAAACTGAAAAATGCATCATTTTTTTCGCGATGTTTGATGTTTTCGTGAGCTTCTTTTAATATGTAATTTTAGCATTATTCATAGGCTGGCTCGTTTAAAACTGTTAGACATTTACTTCTGATGATTAAGTATTTTTTAGTGATTCGAATTCAACCGTATTGTGTTAATTTGGCATTTTCTTTCAATATGAGTCATTTTTTAATACGCATTATGAGACATTTTATTTACGCTGGGAAAAAGCCAACATGGCAAAGAGATGGAATAAATCAAAAGAAAATGCTTGCTTCTTCCTTTCTTTTTCTTCTTCATTGTTGTTTTCTTTCCTCTTGAAGATTAATATTTTTAAAAAGAACGTGGCAGCAAAAAATGTTACAACAGCAACAACAGAAACATGTTATGCTATCTTATGAGTGGCAAGTACAAAAGTTAGTCTTATCGATTTATGATTATCTAGTTGAAAAACAAGTACCAGTATGGATGGATATTAAAGCTGGTATACCTTCAGATAATTTATACGAAGGGTACGAACATATACTTGAATGATATTATTCAATTTTATGCAATTTTGTTTAGTATTGCTAAGGCAGTTGAAAATTCTTCTTGTTTCGTATGTTTTATGACACCGGCCTATCAAGAATCGGATTTTTGTAAACAAGAACTTCAGTATGCTAAACAATGTAACATACCAATCATACCATTAAAGTTAGAAGAGAATTGGAGTCCAACAAGTTGGTTAGGTAATGGACTTTGAACAAACAGCGAAAACGTTGATTCTTTTGACTGTTTTTCAGGTTTCATTACTGCCGGTTTACTGTGGCTTGATTTTTATCATATAAAAATTCTCGAAAAAAAGGCACTTCAATTATACAATCGCATCTGTAAAACAGTTGGTAACCAAGTTCAATTACAAAAGTCACACAAATCAATAGAAATAGAAAAAGTGTTTCGCTTACAGTCATCATCCACACCACGCACCTATTCTTCTTGCACACAAAATGAAAAAGGTATATATGAGTACTAGAATGTATTATATCACTGTCTACCAATGCTCTGTTTCTCTACTTATAGCGAAATGCAATACATTCGAGCGAACTGATCTTGACTTCAGAGATCCTGTGCAGGAACTTGCCGAACGACTTTTGCCTCGAACATTCGATACATATAAAATGACAACCAATCGAAACAAGACATCTGTTAGTTGGCGAATGTCTGCAAGTTCTACATCATCCCTCGCAAATCTCGATGCTTTTTATGATGCACGCCAAAACCAAAGTGAGAAAATGCCTGCACGCCATCATCATAATAGCCGTAGTCGGCGAGGATCGACAAAAACAAAAATATCATCCACTATTTATAGTCGGAGCCCAACAAATGAATCGCCAAATTATGATGACGAAGAACACGACACGGATGATGCTAAATTTCGTTAGTAATTTGTTGAATCTCTTTGAATATTGTTGCGGAAAAATGTCAGCAATGTGCTAATCTTCATAAAAGTTAAATAAATATGTTGATTATGTTTATTTTTTAAGATTTTTAAGAGAATGGATGTTGATATGAACATTGAGTAGTGCATGTTTATCTTCTGTTCATTCTCTAGTGGCATAGCAAGAGGACGCTTAATGGAGAGACAATTAGCCCTGATATGAACTATTTGACAAACGAAAAGATTTGAGCTTTCAGTCAACATTATTTTGAAGAGTCAAATTTGATAACAAGTATGGGTGGATATGGATCAAAAGAAGATCCACAGTCCTACAAACACCCACAACCTCCTTCTTTTCTGTATACTCTTTTACTTAAATCAATAATTATAGAACAAAAAAACGATATATTAGCCATAACAAGAATACAAATGAATAAAGTTCATCAAGCAATAATAAGATAATATTCGATATGAAAGAAAGAGAAAATAGACGTTCATTTGACAATGTTTGTTAAGAGTATAAGTGTGCGGGTGGATGAATATTTTTTTTATTTAGAAAACGCGATAAAAATGTTTCCTCAAACTCGAATCCACAGACATTAAATGTAATAAAATAGTCAACATTTTTATCATTGAATTTCAAATCAGTCTATTGCATTAAATTAATATTTTTGGGTTTGGTTTTATTCATTTCTTCAGTTATTTATTTTTCTTTACAAGAATCCTGTCTTGAAATTTTCAAAACAAAGTTAATTAACTTTTCTTGTTGATCTTGACATTCGAATATGAATGATGAACTACCATATCCCAAATAATTCAAAAATATCATTTTTCTATTGGAAATAATTTCAACAAATTTATCATCAAAACCTGATGCCGAATCTGATACTCCTAAATATAATGTTAAAGTTTCTAAACCAGTTTGTTTTGTTACCATGGTTTGTGTTACATATTTTATTTCAGTTCTTTTATCATCATAAAATACTTTGATGAATTTTGTGTCTTCGACATTTGATAAATAGCCAATGATGAATGTTCTATCGGAAGAATAGCATAATATAAATGTTAGATAACTTGACAATTCATCAAAATTCTTATTCTTCAAGGTACTTGCTTTTAATTCAACCATTAATTGATAATAAAACGGGCAACTAGAATAATCACTTCGTAGCAAATCAGTAGTAGAATACCAAGAATATCGGAAACTAAATTCGGAAATAGATTTCTAAAAATTTTAATACAATATGAGCCTGTATCATAAAGACAGTGAAAATTTCGTTCCTTTAAGAGCCATTGAAATTTTTGTGATCAAGAAATAATTCTTCTATTTGATGATTCATTAAAAATGAGATTTCATTAACAAACTCGCATGGACAATTCCGTTTTGGAGACATGGGTGATGCTTGTACTAGAGGGTGTGGGTGTGGGTGTTAGTGCGAATATTCTTTCCATCCACACCCACACCCTTATGTTGGTTGATGTCATTCAGTTGATCATTTTCTATCTTGCTCATGGCTAGTTTATGCACTTATAATGGTTGTAAATATACTCGATGATGATCTCTAGCAAAGATGGAAACATGTCATTTGGTTGACTTAAATCATTTTCACTTCTATAAACAGACCCTAAGCGAAAGAATAGGCCTAAATATTTAGCAAATGAGTTTTTCACGCCGACGAAACTCAGCGAACATTTTATTCGTCGCCAATACTATCAAGTTATTATTCATAGTGACATTTACGATCGTATATGTTAAGATAAATTAATAACGATTGCTGTCAACTGGATTTAGTATCAGCAATTTTACGAGCACCAATAAACATGTTGTGAATCATCGTGGGCTGTAGAATACAGAAGGTAGTTCAAGATTCTTTGCCATATAACTACATATGAATGCAAGAGCTCTCTTATCGAAAGATTTTATTGCGGATTGTTTATGATTGTAATTTCGTATATGCAGTCATATAGATTATAATCTGGGGACGCAGGTGAGCATTATATATAGCGCCACTCTACCAGCAGAGATAGAAACTGATTTTTCAACATCGTTGCTCGATTCTCTATCTAACGAGTTTTATCGCTCACATCGATGTGATATAAAAAACGTGAAGAGTATGCCAATGCCTAATAGGTGACTCTGTTCATGTTGAGTGTCATCCTGTTTTCAACCAGAAAAAAAACATGTTCTGCGAAAAAAATGTTCAAAGCTCAAGATATAACAATGACAATTCAAATCAATGAAGCAGGGCTGTGTTCAAAGTAAAACGATTCTATGATTGACGAATGAAATCCGAAACGCGAGGTTCCTTGAATTTAGTGGACAAAAATATTAAAAAGAGAAGAGAAATTTGATCAGAGTTGTATGTTTGCTGGAAGGCTAGACAGACGCGGGTGAATAAAAACTTGACACTCGACCATGCACTCCATTTGTAGTTTAAGATGCCTATTAGAATAATGTGACTGATTATCATAAATCAGTTATGCATAGAATACTGCAGTTTATCGAGACAACCTCTATCAGAAATAGAAGTCTGTAACTTAACTCGCGCCCACCACCTAGCCTGTAGTTTTACCGGGTAATGAGTTCCAGAATCTTGGTTTTCTTAAGAGGGCTCCCCTCAGAAACGAACTTTGTTATTTTTCATCCGATTTCAATCAAAATTTCAGAGAATGTTAGTCTTGACTAGAATAGCTTATGGTTGAAATATCTTCCCCAAATCTCAAGAAAATGCACAAGTTCTAGGCAATTCATTACCCTTTACGCGGGGAAGGATTTCGCAATAAGGATACAAGCTAACAAGCTCGGGCGGTTTTTAACTGGTAGAGTACCCTTAGGGCCAGATCCTCACAGAGCCCGGATTTTGAATTTCCCTTTGTTTGAGTTTTAAAAATACTTTTTCGAAAAATGTTCAAATTCAAAGTGCTAATAAATATGAAATATCTGAGTTTTTTATTTCAGCAAATGAGAAATTCAAAAATCGGAGCCTGTGAGGATCTAGCTCTGACTGTCCTCTATTCAACAAAAAAAAATTATCCCTTCTCTATTGAGTCAGTATTAAGAAATCCTTCCCCGCGTAAACGGTAAATTCGAAAAAATTGATTTTGAGAAAAACGAAAAATAAGTATTAGAAGTCGACTTTTCCGAAAATCACCTGATTTATATATTAATGTTCAAGACAGGCTATACATGTGTGATCTTAATATTAAGTGTTGATAGTCTCTTAGTGATTAGTATTTTAAAAAAACTTTACGAAATGATGATGCAAAGAGAAAGCAGCCTAAAAAGTCTAAAAACCTTGAAAAAACATCATGAAAATTTCTCGAAAAATATGATAGTAGGAGCAAAGTTTTAGACGATAAGTTCGTCAAAGTCAATTCATTTTTCGATAAAACATAGATATTCTGAAAGAGGAGACTTCAGTGCATCTTCCTATGATAAAACTTCAATTTCGACTCATCTCCGAAAAATTGGATTTTCTGAGGGGGAGGGGGGGGCTTAAACGAAAATATATTAAAGCAAGCAACAAAATCAAGTGTGTCAGAAAATGACAGTGATAAAATACCTCTTAATCAAACAATATAATTTGCAATGGGTTTTACATTGTATAGGCAATATGTACTAGGAGATGGTTCATTTGGACATAGTGGTAAGTTGCCTTAGACAGCAAGATTCGACAATGAAACATATTGGTTCAAGTGCTGCATAAGGGAAAAGATTTCTTTTTACTAGAGTATATGACCCAGAATCAGAAATTAGTGAAACTAGGATATTCCAAAACAATAGAATAAGGGCTTTCAAGCACTGGTTCCCAAAAGCATCCAAAATGCACGCTCCATGCTTTTTTCCGTAATGTGGATGCGTCTATGGTATTTATTCAAGTTTAGTTCACACAGCTTTTAAAAATACACTAAGATAAATGTCTACTTTGGCTGTTCATTTATCTTTATTAGATTGCTGAAATATATGATGAACTTTTATTTTGCAGGTACTGGTGGTGGTATAGCATTTGCGTCCCCTGAAAAGAAATCTTTCATTTGCATATGTTTTAAATCAACTTGATGTTTTATCAACATCTCCGGTGCCTATTGATCGTCAAGTACAACGAATTTTAGATGGAATCAGTTTAATGCTGAATAAAACTCTATTAAATGGGAAAAAATAGAATTGAACAATGAAAAAAGGACGTAAAATTTTTCAAAACACTCATGAAAACTGAAAGAAGAACGATAAAAACAAATAAATAACGTGTCATTTATATATAATTTGAAAGTTTATCAAGTTTTTGTTCAATTATCAAGTTTTGTTTATTCCTTTTCCACTTGTA